ACTTATTCGTAATAAGTGATTAATTATTTAAAAAAAAAGAGTATTAATTAACATTGTAATTCACATTTTAATTATAATCTGAGAACTGAGAATAAACTGGCGAGAGACGATGATTGATGAACTAACTGTCGAGCAAAACTCCGATATCACAAAGCATAATTATACAATTACACTTCTTTTACGCTTTAGGGATTAATGTTAATTTGATTCTATTCCGTTATACAGAAGTACTAATTAGGAATCAAACATTGTTCAGGTGAAACCAACACAAATAAGGCTTTTAATGGAATCACATAGGTCGAAAATTAACCATATACAATTTTAAAAGCGCAAAACTGTCGCCGGCCCACAATCTGCTCCTCTGTGGCCAAAATTTTGTTTAATAACTTGTAAATTCGTCAAGAAAATATTGTGCATGTTGTTAATTCGGGTTGTTTTGCATAACAGAGCCTATCCGAGTGGGCGACAGAGCAACATGGCAAAAATCCTGCCGATGCAAAATGAGACATTATCTATTTAATTATTTGATAATATATTGTTCAATCGCTCTCCAAAATGAATTCGAAAGTTAAATAATCACTGACAAAGGCTTAATCCAAATTAGAACTAAATAAATTAAAAATAACTTCAGTATGCATCCAATCAAGGGTCTAAATTAATCATTAATTTTTATTAAAATTAGTATTAGAAACTTTTTGAATAATCTAATGAATTAACGACGATGTAAAAAACATAATGGTTACATTATTAATTAAATTGGGAAAAGGCCTTCGGAAAACATCAACAAGAAGAAACTAAAAACGGCTCCCTACTCATATAATATGACCTTTGTCATTAAAAATGCTATTAAATTGATTTTTATGGTTGTTTTATTTATTGTTCATTATTGTGTATTTAAGGTATAAAGAATAAATGGGGCCGGGGTCAATAAAAAATATAAGAATATGTTAAAGAAAAGGAGTCTGCGTTAGTCGACCGGATCGTCTGAGAAGAACCAAAACCCTCAAGGAGTCTAAATCGCTGTAGACGGATCATCCTAAACCACCTCAGAATCGGCTACGCTATTTTGACACCGGATAATAAATTTTCGACAAAGCCCGGGTAAGTGTCCTACTTAATTAATGAGGGTCATTCCTTAGCTATATGCTGAGTGGTTCGCTAAGAGGTGGGTAAAACGTTGGGGGATAGTAGAGTATAAATGAAATAGAATGCCGCAAAACGGATTTTCTAGTTTACGCTGTCGCAAAGATCCGATTTTTATTTTTTTCTTGAAGAAAAGAACTTGTGACAAAAAATATTCTTTTTTACATATGCATTGTTCGTCAAAATTGGGGTTATTCTCAAAATCTACGTTAAATCACGGAAGGAAATATTATCTATTGAACCCTTTCAGACCAACTGATAGCCATTTTGCAGGCACAAACCTATATAATTGAAAGAATTGGTTGAATGTAACAAATTCACTACGCCTAACGAAACCTCCTAATGAACGGCAAATTTTACAAAAACTGCTTCAGTTCATTTCAAATGATAAGCTTGCTGCCGAAAAATCAAGGGTTTAAGCGAAAGGGACGATTTAATTCCAATAGATGACAAAAACATAATTACAAGTAAAACTAAATACTAAAAGTTAATCATCACACATTACTAAAAGTTAAATTTAAAATATTGCCTTATTTTGTAAGTAAACAATATACAATAAAGCAGATAGGTTCTTATTAATCTGAGCCCTCAACTGCAGCTACTACTGAAAGTCATTGTCTAACATGTTTCCTCATCTTGCGCTTGATGTACTACTGATGTACTCATTTGGCCTGAAAGGACTCAGTAGATGGCTTATTCTTTAAAAAATTTATCTTGTATTCTCAAATTTACTTCAATATTGATGAACAATGCATAAGTAACGACGATTTTTTTGGATGTTTGCATGTGTGTGTGTTTGTTTGTGCCTCAAAAAAATCATCTCACCGGTTTGAGTTAGAAAACCCGTTTTTGTGACATATTATTCTTTTTACTAACTAGTATCACCTAATTTTAATATTAAATTCTGTACTAAGCCTAACGAACACGCTTAGTTCCTTTATCTAACTTTTGAAGAATATATACCCTTCATCAGAACTTTTACACTATTACAACAAGAGTAACAATAGGACTTGGCCATCGCGACCTTTATGACGGTAACATTCAATGAAGAATATGATTGGTGTCCTCGGAGGACCTGAATAATCGAAGACCCGATTAAGCATAGAGCATGAGAGACTGGCACACAAACAAACTTACTTCCGTGCCTGGCATGTAGAGAAGAAAATACCGACCTATCCCACCCCCAGGCATTACAAAGGAGACGTGACTTGACACAAATTACACTGAAGATAGCCCAATGTCATAATCCCTGTCTGACTGATCAAGATGATCGGTAAGAATTAAATTACACGTTAAGAAAAGTTGCACGATGCTGTTCACTTAATTAAACGTTTTTTTTTTTTTTTTTGTGGTGTTCGTATCGGTGGTGATTGGAATATCGGTTAATGGTTGTTTTCGAAAGAAAACGACTTCGAATCTTTGCAATCATGACAAAGGATGAAGGTCTTGATCTCCTCAAGACAAAGCTACAAGATGAACAGATGACCCCCCATAAAATATGTCACACTTCCTTATATAAAAGGACTCTTAGATAAGATCAAAAAACTAGTAAACAGCAAATTCAACCACACAAAAGTGACCTTTAGGAATAAACGTTTACTTAAATCATGTTATTCTAATCTAAAAGATCTAATAATAGAAACCTCCCAATCAGGCGTAGAGTATAAAAAGTATAAAATACCTTGTGATGATTGCGAAGGTGTTTATTACGGAGAGACAGGACAATACATACAGAGGAGAATTTATCAACATAAATACGCTTTAAAAAATAAGATAATTAATGACACCGTCCTGTCTCAACACGCCTTGACTTTGGGTCATAAAATAAACTTTGATAGAATAAAAATCATGAAAAAAGAAAAAAACAACAAAAAACGCAAATTCCTAGAGGCCATTTTTATAAAAAGCGACTCACGGGCTATCAATTACAAACAAGATTCCCAGTTCATAAATGATTGCTACCACAGCCTCATAAAACAACAATGATAAGATACACTTATGTATAGAAATAAGTTAATTGTAAACATAAGATAGGGGTAATCTGTGAAGTACGAGGCGATGACACTGTGAGAGGGTAACCCTGACGGAGGTTAAGTGTGCTCCTGACGACGCAGTTCCCCTAGTGGTAGCAACCAGTTAAGTAGAACAATAACATGGGACATTTGCCAATTGATAAATAAATAAAACATAAATAAAAAAGATAAAACTTAGAGATCAAGCGGTAAGTTAAGCTTTTTTGCCTTCTTGTATATAATATATATGTAATTCTGTAATAATAAATAATAATGTAATAATATACTATATATGTACAGGATGCCTTGATAAGGATTTGAATAAAATCGAAACGTCGGCAAAGATTCGAAGTCGTTTTCTTTCCACAACAACCATTGACCGATATTCCCATCACCACTGATACGAACACCACAATTATATTCAACGGTCATCACAAGTTACATTAAACGTTTTTATTCTATGTAAGGCATTATAGATATTTCATTTTGTGGTACCATTTTGTAAATATTGACGATAAATGTATTTATTAGAGTAAATATATAGTATGATAGAATCAGTGGTCCAAAAGGGAATGGGAAAAAGAGAAAAACACCTCCTTTAAGAATGGTACCTACTAATAGTCGCAGACGGATCTAGAGCGTACGGGAGCTGGAGTATTCGATCCTGGAACCAAATACTCAGAGAGAAAATATTTCCAATCTGAGGTCCATACAGCTGAAAGATGTATCAAATTCAATTGAATCAAAGGTTACAAAAACAAGAATATAGCTATTATGTCAGTTAACCATGCAACAATCAAAGCGTTAAATTTATTACACATCATTACCTCCAAGATGATGCTGAATTGCAAAACTAAACTAAGCAAATTGGTATGCAAAACAAAGTCCCTGGAAGTGTGGAGTAAAAGGCAACGAGAAAGATGGTGCCCTTACAAGAAGAAATGATGGCATACCGCTTATAAGATCCGAGCACTCCTATAGCATAGGAATACACACTACGAATGAGCACCTCAGACAGAACAATAAAAAAATGATGGAACAATGGAACTCGCTCAATGGACACAAACATTCCAAGAATTTCCTAACAAATAAAGGAAAGTGGTAACAGAATGTATTAAAGGAAGCAGAAAAATACTGCGAATCCTAACTGGATTCGTAACAGGACACAGAAAACAAAATGTACATTTGAAGAAGATTGTCATAACCCAATGAGGCACGTGCAGGTTCTGCAAAACATCAGAGCAGACATTAATACACTTACTAACAAACAGTGGTGCTACACTTTCCCGCAGGAGGAAGTGTTTTGGGACATACAACCTAAACGTAGAAGAGATTCAACCACTGAAACCTACTACTAATCAGGTTCCTTAGTGAACAAGGACTTACGGATGTGCTTCAAGCGTATATCCAAAACTCTTAAAGGGCACAGAATAATATGCACCCCCGACTGCGTCTATCCATCTATCTATCTAGGGCTGGTGGTGGAATAATGAGTTCTCCATCGATGGTAAAGGGTAATAGGGGAAATCTTTATGGTGTGCATGGATGAAAATAAGAAAGAAGAGTGTGAGGTTTTCGCTTGTTAAAAACTGCACGCGTTAAGATCTAAAATGACCTAGCTGTTGACAGCTAAATTTTATAAGGTTTTAAATTAAATTAATTAAAAATGAATGATGCATTACACTTGTAAAAAAATTATACAACTAAAAAAATTTCTGCTTGTTGCAAAATAAATAAAAATTAAAAAAAACATAATGGACGACTTTACAATAACTATGCGAATTTGAAACCAAAGTTTCCTTAAAAATAAAAAATTTTCGATTTAAAAAAAATAGTTAAACATACCAACTACGTCGAGGAAGCCGACTTGGCTCTTCATAGGGTCCGTGTTGATCTGGCACATGTACCATCCACGGTCCGACTGTCGGATCTCTTTAATGTGAAGATGCCATGTCCTGTGGTCCGAGTGGGTCACGCCGATCCTGTGGTTCTTTGTTATTACGTGGCCGTGGATTGTGAGAATAGTCTGAGTGTCCACACGCAGCCACGCTACCTGAAAGCGGTCGGCATTGATTACAAAAACGTAAACATCGAACTTTTCAATCTTATAATTACTCCGATTATTAAAATTTCTAATACAAATTAAAAAAAAAAAAATATATATANTTTATATATATATATGTATAAACAAGGTGGTCAGCTCGTAGTGTTAAAAAAATATTCGGTGACAGTACATCTAAAGTGGTGTAGAATGTCGTAAACATGATGGTTTTATTCCAATCCCTTCAAAAGATACGATCTTTTACTGTTTACTTAAGAAAAACATATTTCTTTACATAAAACCTAATTTTTTTCCATTCTAATAACTTTTTCCAATTTATGACCCATATTGACATTCAGCACCAAATTTCCTTTCAGATTAGTCCAATTTTGACCGAAAAATTGCCGGTATATTTACAAAATAACAGCACAAACATCATGAAATTGCGAAATGGTAATTTCGGATCAACTTATTTAACAGTAGCTCCCTTATAGTACGATTTTAAAAATGTCAAACCAGCCAAAACATTTAGCAGTTTATGAGCTTTCCAACGATCTATTCGAAACATCGATTATTATGATTTTTCGATGGGCAATTTTAGTTGGAAGTTGGGAACACATGGTCCGGGATGTATCCTGAGAATTAAAAGCTTGGCCCAAAAGTTTATCGGGCATGTAAATTATTAATTAGCAAACTGTTTTCACAATAAAATTTACCACATTTGAAAAGAACAAACTTCTTACTTTTGGTAAAAAAGAATGTGAGACAAATTGAGATGAAAGTATGAGGTTTACCGGATTCTACTCCACTTTAGATTACTGTCCCGAATTTTTTTCACACTCTCTCTCTCACTCTCTCACTCACTCTCTCTCTCTTTGCGTTGTGCGTGCGGGTTTGTGTGAGCGCGCGCGTGCGTGCATGTATGTGCAATGAAATTGAAATATGAAAAATTAAATCTCGTGCAATATATTTAAACTAATATTTTATTTATTTAAAACAGTAACAGAATGGCCTAAGATCACTATACAATATACATTGAAATTAAGAAGTCGAGATGGAATTATCAAGGTATATCGAAAATTGTTAGGGAGGCATGTTAAATGTTTTAACAAATGTTGACTGTAGCAAACACCTTTTCATGTTCATTAGTTGAAAGGGGGTCGTTTAAGTGTTATCACATCATCAATAACAGGCTTAACTCTATTACTGAAATTGATTAGTACTTCGTGCCATGAAATTTTAATCGGTCCATAAAAAATATACTCTTCCGGTCATATTAAGTACCTCACCCTTTTTAAGACACAAAACGGGAACATTGTAAATTTCATTAACAGCCTGTGTCAATTTGGTCAGCTTCATTTACTGCGTAATTTTATAATAGGGTTTACGACAGGAAGCTTTCGACGTGATAAATGACGCTCATAAAAATTTCTTTTTTTTAACCCGATTCGGAGAATTTTCAATATTACAACCACATCGGACGGATTCATACGCAGTACGGAAAGATTGTTTTATTGCGTACTTGCAGTCGAAAAAAAATACTATGAATTAGGCAAATTTATTTCAGTAGTCCTGATAAAACTGTACCAGATAAATGTTAATTAAAAAATACCGCTTTGAAAATAATATATTTAGAGTACATAATTAATGCATCAGTTGAAACTTGTCGCTCCAGTCATAAAGAATAGCAATGACAAGGTATATGATAGCAACAAATAAGATCGTTACATAAACATTATCGAAAGAATAGTATCGATCAAAATTATCGATACTCTAAATTATGGAAGAATCGTTCAATTCTCCTGTATATATCACAAACAATTAACCGTGGACTAATTATTGTCCGTCTGGCGAATTGACTATACGCTGAAAAATAATTTAGACATTAAAATCAACTTACAAGTACAAAGAACACAACATGACCCGTTCGTGAGTCACAACATGACCGTGATTTATCATTCAAATTCATTCCCCCTACATTTAAAAATCATAGAACGGTTGTGTTTCGATAAACTTTCGATATTGAAATAGTCGCCCTTCTGAAATTGCAGTTTAATACCTCAGAAAGGCAGGGTAAGTTTAACTTCTTGTGATCTGCGGGGTGATGCCCACCATATTGTTTAATAATTACCTATCATCTTGGTGCCTATACTCGCTGATTTTTGTTGGATCGGTCGCGTTTCGGCATTTCGATTTTTTTTCAGTGTGTGTAGGGGATTTAATTCGTGCAATGTTTTATATGGTTGACGATGTTTGTGATTGTTAATTTGTTATTTATGAGTTGTTAAGTGTTCAATATGTTATGTTTATACATTTCGAGTAAGTTTTCGAGTAAGTTCTGTTTTTGTCTTTTTTGTGCGTTGTGTAGTAGTTTCATATTTGTTTGTATTGCCGATGGTTCGTGGTGGTTTTCTATTCGGTGTCATTACGACCCCTACTTAATCCATTAAATAAACAGCCCCAATACCATCCACGAACTCGTAATTAATACTTAATTCCTCAAAAATCTCTCAAATATTGAAAACGGCGCAATGCCGAAACGCGTCTGAGCAAAACAAAAATCAGCGGATAGAGGATAGGCACATCAAAATGATTACCAAACTTTGACTCACCTTCCCGCTATAATTTGTCTAATGGGGTGATAGGTAGCTTTTTAAATTTTGTCGGTCATATTATAATTAAGAATGTATTTTATTAAAGGAAATTTTAATAGTTACATTTCAATTGTTATTACAAGATTGGATTTCTTCCCTCAGTAAATTATTTGTAGTTACGCTGAAAGCAAGTCAGGATGGCCGAGTGGTCTAAGGCGCTGCGTTCAGGTCGCAGTCCACTCTGTGGGCGTGGGTTCGAATCCCACTTCTGACACATATTTTTTTTACGCTCGGCATGCAAAAGTCAATTAGTTTCATTCGTAATTTTCCATTGCATCACGAAGAAATTTATTTTAGAACATTTATTAATGTTCATCACGTTTATAAAATTTTAAAATGTTAATTTGTCACTGTTTTGTTAACATAAATTCTGCTATTATATTCCTCCGTACAAAATGTACCATCTGTACATTTTTTAAAAATATCATATGTAGATCTTTTATAATAATTGTGTATAAAATTATAAAAAAATACCATTTTTAAATTTGAATATGAAAAATGTAAATAAATTTAATGTTAGGGAGTTAAGAGAAAAAATGTTTTGTTGTATTATTCATATTTTATTTAAGTATATATTATTAGCATGTTTCGGAGGCTTTTAAATAAAATTACTTTAAACCGTTTATTAACTTTTTAAAGAACCATAGTATAAGTTAAATATACACTGTTTATTATCAAGAAAAATATTCTGTTTTTGATTTTAAAAAAATTATATTACCTACTATCGATAATATCACTGTTATTTTATTCTATAGGTTGTTATTAAAATTTATTTTTTTATCTTGATCAACTCTATTCCACAGACGGAGACAACCGAAAAGTCACTTTCATACAAAGTACTCTTTATATTTTAAAAACAAATATTGATTGCGGGGTGCTGCCCGCTCCCCCTCTTCAGTTGTGATGACTTAAAAATACCAAAAAAATGAAATATTAAAAAAAAATTATGTTAAAAATTAATAAAAGTATCTAACATGTCCTGTTTCATGAAACACTGAGGGTTCAAATTTACACAATAGACCATGATATTTCAAAGTTCTTTTTATGATATTATGCGTCGTCAACAAGTTAACCAATACATTTATGTTTTTTATACTACATTTTAAATATATATCCTTAAAATGTCCCCGTTTATTTCGAAAACAAAAATTTATTATATTATTTACGTTTATAATAGATGCTCAAATACGCTCCCTGCGCAAAAAAGGCACAGTATAAAACCCCCGTATTTTAAATATAAAACGGGGTGGGTCATCTTTTTTTACAAAAAAAAAAAAAAAATACCCCCTCAGGCTTCTTCCGTCGAGCATAACTCAGAAATGGTCGATCCTATCAAACCTTTCCTTCCAGAGAAAGTGCCATGAAATAAGCTCTTGAATCGAATTGTACAACAGAAATATCAGCTTCCAATTTAAAATAACATAGTTTGTGTCATTTCCTAACTAGATGAGAAAGTTATGTTAAAACTGTTACGACCACGCGATTCTAACGAAAATTAACTTGGGGTCGGCATAAGACCATTTTTTGCTAAAGTTAATCGTTTCCGAATTAAATGGGTGGATTATAGATGTTGATACAGCGGTTAAAAATAAGCTCTTGGATTGAATTGTACTATAAAAATATAGGATTCTAATTAAAAATAACAAAGTCAGTGTCATTTCCAAGCTCAATGAGAAAGTTATGTTAAAACTCTTACTACCACGCGATTCCAAGCCAAAATTAAATAGGGTTGTATAAGAACATTTTTGTAATCGTTTTCGAATTAAATGGTTGACTATAGAAATTGATACACTCTTTATATTTAAAATTGTACAGTATTGAGTACTTATATTTATCTTTTTCTCTTTATAATACTTTCATTATTTTCCAAATTTATACACACAATTTTGGTAGTTTTAAATACAATATAAATTCTATTTAATTGATACGATAACAAAGAAACAGCTCAATTTCGAATGGCGCAAAAACATGGCACGGTGCTTTTGTAAATTTATCATTTTACTAATTTTTAATACGTACGCTCTACCCATAATAGCTTTCCCTTCAATTTGTCGTATATAATATGACTAAACTTTGGTCGTTACCGATTATATTGGCCTGCCAATCCACGCTTGGTAACGCTGTCAAACAAGTTTCGACAATTCGCACATTCGCATCACTCATTACGACCTTATAAATGTGATTTGCCTTGAAATCCCCATACAAACCTGAAAAGCCAAAAACATACCGACGTTATCAATTATTGAAAACACTTTTAATTTACAAGGTAATCATAAGACATCTCTAGGCGTGGGGTTGTGGAGTGTGGGGCTCAACCAAGTGTACCAATTCCTAACATCTCCAATAAATTCAGCCTAAAATCCTCCGTCAAATTATAAATATTTTTTTCATGATTCAAAATACACTATTCATTTTACTCACCATACATTCATTCATTTCTCCTACACATCCCATTTGTAGATGAACTCACCGCTATAAACCCGCTATACCAAATTTCATCAATCACTGGACACACACAATAATATATTAAGTACGACTGTTATCACTTCCAACCCTACCCGAAAATCCTGAAGGACGATTCAGACCTTCTCATTGAGTGAAGAAAAGGTTTCGGTGTGAAGGGACAAGAGACTCAAATGACAAATTCCACATGTATGAACAACATATTTACCTAATACAATATTGGTAGATGTAATTGTAAAATAAATGTAATTAAAAATGATTTGGGGTTAGTTTAATTATAACCATATATAACCAATTTTATAAAATTATTGTCGATATTTTTATAATTTTTTTTATTTTAAATTATCGGAATACTATTCTAACATTTGTAAGACCGACAGAAAAATTCCTTGTGAGAAAAATTTTTATGCGGCATCAAGAGAAGCAATTTGAGAAATAAATTATTTTGATGTAATGGTAAAATCTCAACTCTGTATCCGGCTGTTACGGATATTGAATACAGGACCCTCTTGAATAACCAATAAATACGAATCGACCTCCAAAAAAGGGTTAAAAGCACCCCAACGTATATTTGATATTGAGAATTGACTAAAGGATATTTTAGGAGAAAAAAAGAGGGACCCTTCTTTCGTCCGACCCCTGGGGTTTTGATATGAGTTCATATCTTGAATATAGGACGGGGGTTATGCGTCATTCTATATTGTATATATGTCCGGCAGTATGGCATCCCTTCAACCGGTGAATTTCCTCCCTCATTTTTTTTTTTCATTTAATTATTTTTGACGCGGACGACAAGGAGAATGTTTTTAATATCTATTTTTCTAGGCGATTTTATCTCACGTTGACTGTTAAAAATAAACGGGGTGAAAAATGCATTCCGCCTTCTTTCAAAGTTATTCAAAAAAATAAGAAAAGGTTGATTTTTGAGATAAAACCTTTTTTTATGAAATGTACGTATTTTATGATACTATTACTATTTACACACTAAAAATATTTATTTATTTAACAAACTGGATCAAATAGATGGCCATTAAACCAGAAGAAACGGGGCAGCTAGAGAAACATACTGGCCAAATGCAAAACTATAAAATTCTTAACAATACTTTAGAAATAAATGGGGTTTCACTGTTCCTCGTATAATTGAAATGAGATCTCCTCGATTGCCAGTAAACTGAGGTGTATCTCAGGGTACCGTCCTGATCCTCTTCCTTTCTGTTTCTCCCTTTATGATTTACCGCACAAAATAATGTTTTGCAACAACATACTCTTTGCTGATGGCCTTCAGATCTAGATGGATTGCTCAAAGTCTGTCATCGAAATTTACATTAGATTGATTAGTAAGGATATTTAGAAGACTGTTTTGTAGGTAGTGGTAATAACTAAATTAAACCGTATTGCTGATAAGATCAGAAAACGGACACAATCATATCAACCATTTGCAAATCGGTAAATTAACGTCCTTCCAAAAAAAAATTGTATTACAAACTGTGACTTTTAATTTCTTCCATTTCAGAACTTCATATTAATTCTTCCAGTAGTTTACCTAACTCTATCCCTTTAAAAACAAAACGACCATTTTCCAAAATTTGCTCCTCATCAAAGCGCGCAAAATCGTTAACATATGCCAATATATTATGTCAAAAATGCCAAATCGCCTCCTGTTTTTAAAAAAATATTCTGTTTTTAATAGTTTTCAAATAATCAGTACTCTTGCTTTTTGTTGATTCTTCTTTTTTTTTAATTTATAGTTTTCTTCGTATGTTAAATGGTAAGTTTACTCTTTCCACTATTATAGATGATAGTTAAAGTTATTTACTTTTCCTTTAAATATTCTTTGTTCCTCCCACCCTCTCTCACTCCGTCTGTCTGACTCTCGCTCACTCGCTCTCCCTCCCCCCCCCTCTCTCTCTCTATCTGTCTGTCTGTCAGTCTGTCTATCTGTCTGTCTGTCTGTCTGTCTATCTGTCTATCTATCTATCTATATATCTATATATCTATCTACCTATCTATTTATCTATCTATCTATCTCTATCTATCTATCTTTTAGAGAAGAATTGTTTATTCATTTATTTTTATATATTTAAGTGTGTATTATTTATTATTTTTAGTAAATTGAAATTGCACAATACATAATAAATGCTTTTATTCTTTGTTTTATTTTTAGTTTATTATTAGTCATGCATAGTTTGAAATGAAAAAACTTATTGTAAGAAACATTAGTAAAAGTATACCGTTGCTTTTAAAGTAATAGCTCCTAGAGCCATAATAATGGATTTTCTTTTTTTTTCCTGACTTACACCTGAACCTTAAACGCTTATCGGTGAAAAGTAAACCGGCAAGAATAGACGGCCCAACAAAGTGGTTAGCGTCGATAATTCAATATTTGTTCATCTACTCGAAGGCTAAATAACATTAAAACACCATAAAGTTTGATAATGTTGCTACAACCTCAGGGCAGATAACTCCGCTGGATACTATAACATACTAAAGTTTAGTGTGCCGCGCATCGTTTAGCAGGTAGGGCGTCCAATTTAATTTATAAGGCAATATAATAATAAATTAATAAAAAATAATGATATAATACAAATACAATATAATTGGACTGCTTCATTAATTGGTGTGAGAAGTATCTTCTTCCTTTGGATATTAACAGATGCAAGGTAATTAAATTTAATAAAAATATCCTACCTCGTGACTTTGATTGTTATGATTATTTCGTTAATGGGCAGAGATTGGAAGAGGTTGACACTATCTCCGACCTTGGTATCTTTTTCAGCAGAAAGGGCGATTTCAGTGACCATATCAAATAAATTCGAGGTAAG